ACATCCACACTCACACCCACCCACACCCACACCCTCCGATTTTTCGGAAACTAATGTAAGTAATTTAAACTTTTCAGAATGATTACTAATATTAATAAGATGTTTAAAACTCTTGGTAAGTCCTCAAGCATCATCAATAGTTGTTTCTAGTTTATCATCAGTATTTCATTGTTCATTTTTTCCTCATCTTTATAAATTTGTCCAGATGTCTGGCGTATAACACTAGTTGCATCATTGACTTTTTTACGGACAACATTTCAGTTTCTAATGTTTCTTATAGGTGACTGATTAACAAGTCGTAAAAAATTGTTTATAAGTTTAATTCATTTATCTTTATTTAGTGCAAAGTTAAATTCATAACTTCTTCATCTGATGTTTCTGATGATGAATTATCACGATCAGAAGAGAGTAAACAAACTTGAGTAAGAGCTAAAATATTAGATAAAACTGCACCGGCAGTAGCTCTAATAGGTTGAGCTTCATCAACGTTCATATATATTGAAAAATTACGATCATAGGCTAAATTAAAATTTTCCTTTGCTGTTGTATAACATCTAATGAATAAATAATCATTTTCTGTAAACACTATCGAAGCAGAATGATTCAAAAAAATCAGCTAAATCATCAGCAATTCGGCGTTGATCTTTTGGATGAGTAGATTTTTTCCAATTTTTCTTTTGCCAATGTGTGCCAGTACATTTGCACACCAAACCGTAGACATTATACTTTATATATTATATAAATGCTAGTTGAAAAAATCGAGTTAGAACTAATACTTCGAATTCATATCAGTTTTTCGAAGCTATGAGAGAGGAGAATGAGTAAAAAACGACAAATCCAAATACTCATGAGCCGTAATAGATTTCTCACTAAACCAATTAATACCTCAATGTATCTGAAGTAAGGTACGATTTCAGACACTTCTTTAGCCGTTTGGAAAATTTGAACACACTTAGCTCGTGTATGATTTACTTCTGAATGTTCTACAAGACTTAAGATGAAAATAGTTAAATCAAAAATCAGTATATGTTGAGTAGCAATAGTAATTGATTTATAATACACATATATATATATATATTCAAAAGCAGTCACGTCTATTTTATGGAAAACTTCATTAAATAAAACGAACTTTAGTATTAACTTATCTTAATATTGAAAGACTATTTGATGATGAATATTTGAACAATATCTTTTAAATATATATATCGCTAAACATATTCAATAGAAGTCTAACAAGATAGTCAAGTAAAAGAAAAAGCGTACAAATTAAAAAGAATTATACTATACAAAACACAAAATATCAGAATATAGATCTCCCATCATTAATAAATTGTGAAATATTCTGCTATCGATTGGAAGGTATATTGAGTTATACTTTAAAGATTGTTTTAAATTTGAGAACACAAAAAACGTTTGAAAATTATAAAATGTATATATAATGCTAGAAATTTCCATATTATTTTTGAATATAGCACAAAAATCGCACTTTTTTACCTTTTTTCCTTTCGTATTCTTTCAAATCAAAGATGCGAGAGTTGAAATCTAGTGCATCTTGTAGACCAATCGATTCACTACAAAATCCAATATGTGGCTATGTTCTGTAATTCCATTTTTACGAACATCTTTTTAGTGCAAGAATGCATACCAATGTGCTGTCTTTCCTAAGAGATAACATAGTAAAGATATTGACAAAACCCCAACATATTCTAACCAAAATGTAGCTGAGCTGACGAGCTGTCAGAATATGTATGGTATATGCGTATATAATTAATATCTAAGCATAAGAAATGAACGAAACTTATAAAAGACAGTTTTCAGCAAAAGCCTAGTTTTTATGATTTTATTAAAAATTACAGAAATATCATGATGAAAATGTTCTTGTCTATTAATGCAATTTAATGAATTGGCATTACCGATTTTCATACTTCACTATGGTTTACCCCGTGAAAAAAAAGTCAAATTTTAGGTGATTTTGTGAGATTATCATTGAAGTTTTCTGCAACAAAATCCAAATTATAATCGATTGAAATCTTCCAAATCACAAATAATCTGATTTTTAATCAAAAATAATTCTTCGAAATCAAGAATACTTTAGATTTTAATCAAAATTTTAGTTGATTTTGAGGATTATTTCGGATTAAAAAAAGTTTTCGAAATCAATTAAAATTTTGATTAAAATTCAATATAATCTGATTAAAATCTAAAGTATTCTTGATTTCGAAGAATTATTTTTGATTAAAAATCAGATTATTTGTGATTTGGAAGATTTCAATCGATTATAATTTAGATTTTGTCGCAGAAAAATCCGATGATAATCTCACAAAATCACCTAAAATTTGACTTTTTTTCACTAGGTTACAAATCTTGAAAGTTTTATTGAATTTGTAGACACTCGATGTAAACGTGGTAAAAATCCGATGAACTCCCCCACATATGATTAATGAGTAAAAATTCGATCATATATGTAAAAGTTAATGCTTGAATTCAAGTATTTAAATATTCCATTAATCAAATATTCATGCATTTATGCATTCAAGCGTTCAGAAATTTAAATAATCAGGTAATCAAATATTCAACTATTCAAGTATTGAAGTTTTCATTTCAGCACGCAGCGCTCCTGCTTTGATGTCGTTCCGTGGTACTTTCACACCTATTTCGTTCTCTTGTCAACAACATGCTCAAGGTAATTGCATATTTAAATACTTGAATGCTTCAATGCTTCAATTTAACCTTTAAGTTTTACATGTATGATCGAATTTTCACACATTAATCCTATGTGTACTTTCGCTGAGTATAAATATGTTCGTCATTTTCTCAATTCAGACAAAACTATTTGTGAACACAATATATCGTCTACTTTATACGATTAAAGTAAGTAATACTTGCTATGATTGAAATCCAATGATCACTCTTCGTATTTAGTTGAGAAAATAATAATGAACTCACGCGGATTGATTGCTAGTATTTTGTTATCAGCTTTGATGATGGCCATATTTTTACCTGAAACAACACAGGCTGGATGTACATGCGATGCTTATTGTCGTGGGGCAGGTTATAAAAGTGGCATATGTGGCGATGGACACACGTGCATCTGTTACAGCAGAAAACGAACAATGAAAATCTTCAGAAACATTGAAGTACGAAACAATAACGGTGACTTGGAAGACAGTGTTGCTGATGAAAAATAATAAAATAACAAAACTAAAGTGAAGAAATATCATAAACACGATATTAATGTGATATGGAATGATAGATGAAGAACGAACAATAATCATCATTATCTTCTTCTTCTTCTTTTTATTCGCTCACTTTTGATAATGTGTTTTCGATATTTATATTCCAATTTAAAATAAACAAAAAAAAAATTACTTACAGTAGTTTATAAAAATATAGAGTCACATTGTACTGTTAAGTTCTTAAGGGTGGGTGTGGGTGCGGGTGGGTGTGGGGTGTGGGCAAGGGGGAAAATGCGAGACTACATACTTCACTTCTACTTCACTCGTACTTCACTGATACTTCACTGATACTTCACTGGTACTTCACTGATACTTCACAGATACTTCACTCGTACACTGTAAAAAAAAAGGTGTTTTACGAAACCAAAAAAGGATCTTCACTTGGGCACACAGTCAGATCCTTTTTTGGTTTCGCAAAAAAAGGTTTCGTATGAAACTTCTTCTTGACAAATGGGAAAAATGGTTTCGTACACAAGGTTCAGTACGAAGCCTTTATCGAGAAAAGTCTAAAAGGTTTCGCACAAAAGGTTCGGTACGAAACCTTCACAGGAAAATGCCAAAAAGGTTTCGTACAAAAGGTTCTGTACGAACCCTCTCCAAAAATGAGGTCGAAAAGGTTTCGCACAAATGGTTTCGTACGAATCTTCCAAGGTATTTACATCTGATGAGGTAGCCCTTCAAAATGATAATTCGGTATTGAGGTGAACCACACTGCATAAGGTAATTATCGGTGAGATGAGAAAAATTCCCGAAGGATACCTTGCATCAGCTCTTTTCTAGAGGATTATGCCTATGTTACTGGAATTTTAGGTGAATGCTAACGAAGCATCCCTTTTACATGTGAACTGGATTTTGAGTTCGAGCCATTAGTGTCAGACAGATATGAGAGGAGTATGAAACGCTCCAAATAAACGAGGATTTCTAAGTCTTCTCTCGAAAGTTATAGCTGTTTTCTTTGAATTTGAACCAATAGTATCGTAGATATCAGTAGGTGGAATGAGATTATTTCAATTTAAGAGTTTCTCGACAGAGTAGTCTATTGATGAGGTGAATGTCTCAAAAATTTCACCTGAAACCGGTGCGCTTTTGTCCGAAATGCTGAAGTTCACAAACAATACAAAATTCCTTTATCTTTCGTGAGATACCAATTACATTGTTGAGCATCAGCATTTCGGACAAAAAGCACATCAGTTTGAGATAAAATTTTTCGGATATTGACCTCATCAATGGTCTGCTCCGTCCAGAAACTCTTAAATTGAAATAATCTCATTCCACCTACTGATATCCACGATACTATTGGTTCAAATTCAAAGAAAACAGCTATAACTTTCGAGAGAAGACTTAGAAATCCTCGTTTATTTGGAGCTTTTTATACTCCTCTCATATCTGTCTGACACTAATGGCTCGAACTCAAAATCCAGTTCACATGTAAAAAGGATGCTTCGTTAGCATTCACCTAAAATTCCAGTAACATAGGCATAATCCTCTAGAAAAGAGCTGATGCAAGGTATCCTTCGGGAATTTTTCTCATCTCATCGATAACTACCTTATGCAGAGAGGCTCAACTCAATACCGAATTATCATTTTGAAGGGCTACCTCATTAGATGTGAAATGACAAATACTAAACACCTCAAATATCTCAATAGGCCCTTCTCAAAAAAAAAGTAACAATAAAAATGAATAAACTTACTTTCATACCATAGTTGTGAACCCATCTAGAGCAAACAAATAATTAGTAATTAAAACCAAAAGTAGTGTCCCAATCAAGAGCTCATTCGAATCTGAAATAGAAAAAAAACAATTTACACAATGAAATAAATTAACTATTAAATCGGAAAATGGTATAGATCTACCATAGAAATAAGGGTGTGGGTGTGGGGTGTGGGGTGTAGGTGTGGGTGGGGGTTGGGTGT